GCACCGCCCAGGCCCGCCTTCCTTGACGTCACTTCCGGGGAGGCCCGGGCGGGGCCCGAGCTAGGGCTGCTGCCCTGATCTGGTTTGGCTTTGCTGCTCGCCACGTCCCACGCCTGGCCACCAGTGCTTTCCAGCCGTCGGAGGGCCGCGGGCCTGCCGCGCCCGGGTAAGGCGCTCGCGCTGCTTTCCAGGGAGCTGTTGTTAGGGCTCCCCGAACCGTCTTGGGACTGAGAAAAGGCGATCGGGGACCAAAGGAGGATGAATGGGGAGCACTGGAGGCTGGAGGATGAATGGGGGCATAAGGGGGAGGAAAAGGTTAAATAAGGGCCCTAGAGGCAGGAGAAAGGGGGCAAGAAAAAGAGTGAGTGGGGGACACAGCGTGCAGGACGATAAAGAATGAAGAATAGGAGCAGAGAGGGAGCAAGAATGGGTCGAGACCCTGGAGGAGCATGGTTGAGGCCCAAGGACGAAGGAGGGCTGAAGGGGATCGCAGACTGCAGAGAAGACGCAAGGCTGTTCCAGTTTCGGAACACAGTCGAGACGCTCCCGTGGGTAGGGAATGGACAGGTCCTGGAGCAAGTCCCTGACCAGGCTGGGCTCCAAAAGTGTGGGTCTCAGAAGGAGTTGACCTCTTGGGTGACCCATGACCCGGGCCTCTTTCACCCAGACCCTTTCTGCCTAGAAGGAAGCTGTGAATTTCCATCAGATTTTCCACCCTGTCCATCTACTTGTCTACCCTATGTGGCTTCTTGGCATCTGCACTTAAATGTTAGGCTAAGAGCAAGAATCCACATCCTCACGGTTTACCATAAGAAAGAAACAGAAATCTGACTTTAACAACTTGCAGTTTTCCCCCTCTCCCAGGAAGCATCTGTAAAATTTCAATAAAATGGGCGAGATAAATATTTAAAATATAAAGTCTTCATTTATGTGTTGGACCTGCCTAATAGACAAAGGAATGTCAATTCTACCTACATAGCCAGGAAAAACTGCATTTTAGCATTTAGCTGTGAAATCAAAACTTCTAAGAACCTGGCATCGAGTGGTATAATTTAAATAATATCCAATGTTCCAAGTTCTTATCTGCCACATGGGCACATCCTTTGGACCACAGGACAATGTCAATATACATGAAACTACATGGGTTTCTTGGGCTTCTGCTACCAAAGTTCAGCCAGGTCACGTGTCAGAATTAGGTTTCTGTGGTTTGCCCTCTGTTAATTTACTTTCGAAATCCCTACTCCTTGATATGCACAGATAGCTTCCCCAGCTGGGAGTAGGGACCAACTGGGCCATGTTCCTGCTGATAAATAAGTATTAATAGCATGATAGAATGTGAAGATAATACTCGGAGTCCTTCAACAAACCTGAGGATTACTTGTGTTGCATCTGTCTGGGCCAGAAAACAAGAATTAACCATTTTGGAGTCCATTTTCATGTAACTAGCATGTAGCAATCTACAGATCACTAGCAGCTTCATAAAAGAGTAGGACTTAAGAGGCATCACAAGGTTGTGGACCAGTCAGTAGGCTGAGGCAGGAGGATTGCTGTGAGTTCAAGGCCAGCCTGGGCTGCATAGTGAAATCGAGGACAGTATAAATGATATAGCAAGACCCTGTCTTAAAAAAAAAAAAGTCACGGACCAGCAAAGGACAGAGAAGTTGATACTCAAGGCCACAGTATGGGAATGTCTTCCTTGTGGGATGTCATTTGAGGAGGTCCATGCTGTACTTTTCTTGCATATCCTATAGGGTACTGCTTGCTCCCTGCAGATGGGGAATTCCCAGCACTAGCCTAACCTCCAGGCTTCCCATCTTCCCAGTCTCCTATTTAATGTTTACGTAACTCTTCTTCTAGATAATAATGAGAATAACTGGATAGGTCCTGAGAGCCAGATTCTCTCTCATTTAAGTTCCACAGAAGCCCTTGCAGGGAAAGTATTATTTTTAATCTTATTAATTCTGAGTCAACTTGTAAAGATCAGTACAAGTCTCACACATGATCTTGATACTGAAAATGCTCTGTTGGAAAGTAGAGGCTCCAGGACGATACCAGAGAGATGAAGCCACGGTACAACAAAGGCCTGTTCTTGACTCTACATGGGGGCCAATTCTTGTTTCTGTGGGAGTGACCATCAGCCTGGTTGGGTGGAAGTGAATAAGCAAGGATGGTGTCCAGCACAGTTTTCTGAGAAGTTGTGGAGTTTTTGGAGATAGTTTTGTGAATATGTTCCTTGTGAATATGTTCCGTGTGTGTGCATTAAGGTTTGTGTGTGTGACTTCTCACAGGTGTGTGTGACTGTATGTGTATCCTCTGTGGCTGCTTGCACATGTGTGATAGTGTTTATGCATTTGCAGCTGTGCGCAGCTAGGAACATGTGCGGCCGTGAGCTGTGTACACGTGTGACTTCATGTACGCATGTGTGTGTGTGTGTGGCCGTGTGTGCATGCATGGGCATTTGTTTTTGGGGAGCAGGCTCATGGTTGTCCCTAAGCATTACCACCTACTGAGCTCTGCCTTCTGTGGAAGGTGATGAGCTGTTTCTGTAATCCCCTGTGTCACATGCGATACCCATCAGTGAATTTATATCTGCTGCTTTATACCTTTGCATTACAGCTGTACTCCTAGAGTCCTCTAAAGTTTTGGTTGGTTCCTAGGAAAATGTGCTTCCTGCTACGTAAATCACATAATTTCTCTTAATTATTAAGATCTACATGTGAAATTGTACCACTGGGATTAGTCTGTTTGGCTCCTTGATAGCTCAAAGTACTTGAAGAAAATCTATCACTGAAGTCTTTCAGAAATGTTTTTCCAAAATTAATACATGCTTATAAAAAACCCAAAAGAACCAAGATATTAAGTAAAAAATGAGGTTGGCAATATAACTCAGTGGTAGAGTACTTGCCTAGCATGCATGAGCTCTGGGTTCAATTCCCAGTAGTCAAAAAAATTTAAAAAATTTTAAATCACATGTAAATCTATTATGTAGGGATAGTCATTTTTTATATTCAAGTGTAAGTCTTTTCAGAACCATTTTTTTTTTTTTTTGAGACAGGGTCTCACTATGTAGTTGAGACTGACCTGGAACTCACTGTGTAGCCCAGGCTGGTCTCAAATTCACAGCAGTCCTCCTGTCTCAGCCTCCTGAGTGCTGGGATTAAAGGCGTGTGCCACCAAGCCCAGCAGAACCTTTAATATATGTGTTTAAACAAAAATTTGATCACTGTCACTTAATGTTGTATACTGTTGTATCTTCCATGTCAAGAAATAAAAATTTGTGTCTTTTTAGTACTGCCATCATATTTTATATACGAATGGGACCACACTCAAAATTATTTTTGCAGATTTTTGCAATTGTAAATCATGCTCTGATGAATATCTTTGTAGATTTATCTTTGGACAATCTGTCCAGTTGCTTCCTTAGAAATTCCTGTAGTAGAAACGGCCACATCAGAAGTTTGACATTGAAAGCTGTGATACATATTGTCATTTTCTAGCACAATGATCTGTTGAATATTGTTCTTTCCTGCTTGCCTCCTCACCAGCTCTTTTCCTCCATGCTTTTCCTAAGCATCATTGACTCTTTTTCAAACCCTAGATGCGTCTGTTACCACTGTGGAGCATCTGCATCAGTCCCACGTGTGCCACAAAGCATGCCATGGCCTGGGAGTGCCCTGCCAAGCTGCCCTCACCTGCAAAGCCAGGCTTTACCTGGCGAGCACACAGTGTCACGCCCACAGCTCCCCAAGGAGGAAGCTGTCCCAGCCTGCAAGCCTGCCCTGAGCAGCTGCCTCTGGTGAGTGTCCCAGGCCCTGCAGGGTAGGTCTGGCTGTTCAGGGACAGAAGAGTGAGGCTGGAGAGGATCCTGAGGAGGCTTTCCAGGGTCAGCAGAGAGTCACAGAAAAAGAAAAGCACCCAGTCTCCCGGGGGCAGGGGGCATTGTGTGGTCCTTCACAATAAGAGATCCTGCCTTCTGCTGGATGAACCAAGGGGACAGAGACCGTGCAGTCCTCTGTGGCCCTCAGTGCATGGGGGATTCTGCTTTCATTGGTGCTGGAGGACAGGGGAGGTGCCAGAAGCCCAGATAGAGACCCCAGGAATTGATGTGATTTGTGTCTGTTCCAAAGTAAGAAGCCAGACAAACAGGAGAAAATTCTTTGAATCAGTTCCTTCCGGCCTTACTTAGCTGGAGCAGCAAACTTGAAATGCTGGAGCAGTGATATGACACATTGCAGCCTGTGGACCAAATCCCACTGGCTGGCTGTGTAAATAAAGTTTTATTTGGACACAGCCGTGCCCATCGAGTCACATATCATCCATGGCTGTCTTTGCACCACATTGGCAGTTGTGTAACTGAGATTACTTTATGGCCCACAGAGTCTAAAATATTTACTATCTGGCCCTTTATAGAAAAAGTTTGTCTACTGAAGGACCGTAAGGCCTGGAGTGCATTCAGGGAGCCAAGACCCTCTTTGACCATTAAATATAAATATGAGTGGCCAAACGGAGCTGGGAATACAATATTTACAGGGCACTCAGCTGCAGAGCCTTACCTAACGGATGGTTGTGTGAGCTCTTTGTGCTGAAACCTTCTAGTTTCAATTCTTCCCCTATCAGCATATTGCTCTATCTCTTCTCAACCTGCCCCTACTTTTTTCTGTCAGTACAAAGAATGCTTTTTGCACCCTGGAAAACAAATGCAAATCTATGGTTTGTATAAGACTGGGTAACTTTCCTAAACTTGTAAGATACCAGGAGCCCGTATAATCATTTTGGAAAGTGCTATTTAAAGCTAGAAAAAGTTAGTGACTCTTGTGAAAGGATAGAGGCCTCTGGGAATGTCCCAGCCTTCCGGAAGAGTTTGTCCCCATTGATTACAGGTGGCACGAAGCCACCCAACCACCACCCTAGATGTCCCTTCGTGTTGCATGGGAGCTGCTTGCCTGTGTGACCCTGGGTCACTCTCATACGGCTCAGTGAGGCTCAGAGAAGTTATATGAAATGTCAGGGTCACATGGTTAGCAAGCTCGGAAGCTGAGATTGATCCCTTTCCATAGCAATTCATTCAGTAACATCCCTATATCAGGTGTGTGTGGTCCTCATGATGCTAGGGATGAAAAAGAGAGAGACAGCCCTGCCCTCAATGTAGTTGAGGCAGGTGGAAAGAAAGGTGACACTGGAAGACAGAGCAGGAAGCATCTGGGCAGAGGGTGGATCAGAGTAGGAGATGGTTCTTTAAGGATGCTGTGTGGGTGGGATCTTCTTCAGGTTAGCAGCTCAGCCCATTTCTGCCTGGTACATAAGACCTGTAGGTATTTCATGCTACCACTGTGTGTGGGTGGGTAGTATCCTATCTTCCTGCTGTGAAATCCAAACTGCCACATGGCTAGTGGGGTCCACAGCTTTTCTCTGGCCTCCCCCAAATCTCATTGTTCTGTCCTGACCACGGACCCTGCTGTTGTCATCAGCTGCCCTCTCCTACTCACCTTCGCCAACAAATGGATTCCTGTCCACCTTTCACAATGTACCCAGGTGTCACTTTTCCAGGAAACTTTCCTTGACACACCCATAGCCACCACAGGATGAGTCAGCATGACCTCTTTCCTCTGAATTCCTGCAGGCCCCTTGGTGGAAGGTTGTATGTTTTTCATCTTTTGTCTTAAGTGTACTTCCCTGGCATATGAATAGACACCTAATATGTTGGATGGATGGATGGATGGATGAACGGATGGATGATGGATGGCTATGTGGGTAGGTAGATGGCTGGAAAAGTAGATGGTTGTATGAATAGTGAATGGATGTGTGGGTGGGTGGGTGGATGGTTGAATGGGTGGATGGTGGATGGTTGGACAGATGGATGGACAGGTAGATGGGTGGATGGTTAGATAGACAAGCAAGTGGGTGACAGATGGATGGATGTTGGGAGGATTTATGACTAAGTTTTGTCCCCATGTAAATGTCACAGTCAGCTGTCAGAGGGTGTACACAGGGGCATTAGGCTTGTCTTGTATCCTGCAGACTATGGGAAAGAATCTAAGAGGAAGATATGGCCAGTCTTGGTGATGACATGGTTTTAGCCCTGTGGACATGCCCAAGTCTTGGCTCTCCTTCCTTCCCTCTCTAACTCTGGCCCCTGGGGTGAGAGGGTGCGAGCTGTGATGAAATCAGGTCACGTGCTTTAACCTATCCAAGGCAAGGCTTCAGGTTAGATTGCCATTACCAGGTTGACTGCACCATTTTGTGTTCTTCCTGACAACTTGGCTCAATTTGTACCTTAGGCCTTGCTGGGGGCTTCCATAGCAGGTGCAGTGCTGAGCCCTGTGCCTCAGATAAGGACATGTGTCACTGAACAAGTGCCTTCTGACCAGTGTGCTCTCTTGACCCCAGATCCCTTGGCCAGGCAGAAGGAAACCATCAATAGCCTGAGAAGCCAACCAGCTGGGAACCTCAGGGACCATACCACCCTGCTCTCAGCTTACCTGCAAGATGTGGACAGCACTCATCCTGGCTTGGATTTTCTCCTTGTCCTTATCTGGAAGCCAGGTGGCATCTGACAAACCGCGTAAGTGAAAAGAAGGCTGTGTGACTGTTGGACAGGTCCACAGTGGCTCCAAAGGCACCCTCGGCCCCTTGAGAGAGGAGGTGCCCTGGGGCAGGTCTGGGATGGGTTCTTGAGGGCCAGTGTGGGTAAGGAGGCCCCAACAAGACTGGGCAGCAGAGCCTTGTAGGTTCCCTTGCTTGGCCCTGCAAACGTGCTTGACTTCTTTGGGGAGTTCATTCACTTGTACATCCAGTATTTAATTACACTCCTAGTCTATGTCAGGTGCTGTTCCTCTCCAAGAATTCAGGGATGTGAATGTCCACGCAGCCAACTATCTGTCTGGTACACCTAGGTGTGTGTGCGGTGGTCCTGGTTTCTTTTTTATAGTGAATCACACCATAGTGTGAAACTTACTCTGCTGTTTTGGGAATTGAATCAAATAGTGAAGCTCTTAAGCCTCCAATGGGCTAGGGAGTCACAGAGCAAAGGAGTTTTAAAAGCAAAGTGTCAGTGGCTTCTCCAGTGGGCTACACTCTGGACACGGGTGGAGAGAAAAGAAAGAGCCGTGGTCACCTCCCTCAGCACACTGGGCTGGGCAGAGCTGGCTCCACAAAGCCTCCCCTTGGACTGGGAGCATTGCCAAGTGATCCACCTGGTTTGGTCAAAAGTGATTATGTCTCTTTTTCTCCTTTTTCTAATTTTAAGGATTCTTAATCCCTAACAAGTTGTGGATGAAAGTAGTCAAGAAGAGTATACCCATGGAAGTAGTGACAGGGGTTCATGAGACCTCTGAGAAACCAAATACAGTGGCTCCTTCTATGGTCAAATTCACTAAAGGGACTTTGGCAGCCAGCCTCAACTCTACTAAAGTCACAGCAGAGACAACCCACAGGACAAACATGAGCACTCTAGCAGCTGCGGAAGCTGCAACGGACAATGCAACCTCTGAAGCTCTCACGGCACCCAAGGCATCCATCCCCCCGTCACCCATCCCCACGTCAGTGTGGCAGAACCCAGCCACAGCTACCACTGGGCTTCCGACTCTCAGCACACCCCATGCACAAGTGCCAAGTACCAATGTGTCTCCAAGGACAGCAGCAAGGGCAACATTGGCCACACATAACCAGACTGCTGCCGCCAACGCAGGCAGCTCCTCAGAGGACGCACCCACTAACTCCACACTGAGCCCCCCACCCACCGTGGGTCCCCAAGCACAAGGTCCCACCAGCCAGGTGTCAACGGCCCAGACAGTGCTTAACACAACAGGTAGGTCTCCACCTGCCCCCTCAAATACCACCCAAGAGGCCACTACCACCCCTTCCATGGCTTTGGTGTCTTCCACGGCAGTGGCCACCACCCAGGCTCGAGCTAAGGAGCCAACTACCAGCACAGTGCCAGCACCTCCCACCAGTCAGACCCCTGAGGTAGTAGCCACATCCCCCACAACACTACCAAGCCCTGTGTCATCTACGCATGGGGCAGGAGGGCCAGCCACCCCCCAGACGTCAGAGCCAGTGGAGACCAAAGCCACATCCGAAAATGCCTCTACCGGGCTGACACCTCGGAGCCCAGGGGACCCCAAGATGCCAGCTACGAATCTGTGCCAGCCCAGCACCGACGGCCAGTACCTGGTGGTCACCACTGAGCCCTTGACCCCATCTTTGGTGAACAAAACATTCCTCCTGGCGGTGCTTATACTTGGGGTAACCCTTTTTGCCACTGTCTTGGTTTTGTTTGCCCTGCAAGCCTATGAGAGCTACAAGAAGAAGGACTACACACAGGTGGACTATCTGATCAATGGCATGTATGCAGACTCGGAGATGTGAGCACAGGCTGGGGCCGGCCCGGGACAACCACAGCTCGGGCCTCTTCCTCCACCTTCCATTTTGCCTCTGAGACCAAACCAAGTGCTTCCAAACTCTTTTGGTGCAATTTTGGAGATATGCCAGATGCTTAGACACATCTTACTGCTGTCAGATTAATTCCATGATCATGAAAGGGTTGCTGCTTTTTCATATTTATTTTTGTAAACGATCATGAGCCAGGAGCAGGCGGTGACTGCCCTGGGGTGGGCAGAAGCCCTGGACCACTTGGCCCCCGGGGTGTCAGATCTTAACCAGAATTAAAGTAGTGACTGCTCTCCACTCAGACCCCTCCCTGCGTTTGTATCAGTATGTCCTGCTTACAGTTGCTCCCACTAGAGTCTAGTTTGTGTGTGTGTGTGTGTGTGTGTGTGTGTGTGTGTGTGTGTGTGTGTTTTCAGTGTGCGGATGGAACCCAGTGCCCTGTGCACTGTAGGCAAGTAATAACCACAGTTACACCTGAGCCCTGGAACCTTTTTGAGACACCTGGTGGAGTAGGTTTGCTTTTGTAAATGTTTAATACAACTTGAGGCCTGCTTTGCTACTTGAGCTACTTGCTACTTGCTACTCTGAGCTACTTGCTTGAACTTCCTTAACACCCAAAGCTACCTGAGTAGTTGGCAGGGGACTCCCTGCCAACATCCTGTAGTCCTCCTTAGACAGTGAGTCTCTTGGAATCTAACTTGGGTGTGGAAAGGCTGAATCCGCCCTCAGTCTACATGGCACAGCCATCCTGGCCTGGACCCACTCAGACCAGAATCCTGATTCTACACTGCCAATGACAATTATTACTAGTACTAAAAGGCCCGAGGCCTTTGCTCTAAGTCATACTGGCCACAGAACCTGTCCCTCAGTAGAACCATCCTGGAACCCAAATAGCAACCAAGGGCAATTCCTATGTGCTTTCCACAGGTCAGGCACCATCTTCTGTAAATGCAGGTGACTTACAGAGCCCTCTCCCCAGCAGCTGGGCACCTAAAGTTGGAAACACTGAGGCATAGGGAAAAGTAGTCATGCTGAGGGCCAGGACCAAATGCTAGTTTTAAGAGTCCCAATTCTTCAACTTCTCTCTTACCTCTCTCAGGCTGAGCTCGGCCTTTGTATTCTCCCCCATCTACCTGCCTGAGATGGCCAAAGCCGGTAAATCACATATGGGCCAAGGCATCTAACAAAGTTGTAGCCTCAGGCCAGGAATGTGGTTGCTAACTGACTAGGACAGTAGAATGTTCTGGAGCGCACAACATAGGGAATGGAGAAAGACATTCTGTGGCCCGACCCGGGGAGGGGAGTTGAGTGTTGCATTTCAGCTTCTCTGAACGCCACAGCCAAGACCAGCTTTGTGGTCTCCCTTCTCCCTCTCAGAGATTGCCATGGCCAGGTCTGGGTGTCCAACTTCTCATCTAAGTTTCATCTTGTCCAAAAAGGACCTCAAGAGGCCCATGACAAAAGACCACAGCAGACAAAGGTAGCAGATTTCCAGACATTTGAAAAAACTGAAGAGCCAAGGGTGAGAAATACACAGGAGAAGGGGACCAGGACCTGCGTATGGCTCTTTCCTTCTGCTGCTAGCTCACTCCATGCAGGTTTGTTCTGGCCCTTTTTACCTCACTATGCAGTCTGGCTGACCCCAGCCACCCTTTCCCCTTCACCCAAGTCCTACTTTCTCCCATGTATGCATGCTTAATCATGCACAGCAGCTGGAAGGGCCTGGTTCTGGCACCTGCCTTGTCACCCTCTTTGTCCTGAGCTCTGGATCAGCTCACAGCATCATGCTGGAGACTGCAGCCCACCCAATGGGGATCCTATTTCTAGCTATCCCTATGGTTTTCTTGTGGCTGGAACTTCTAGAGGGTCACAGGTGAGTCACACCATGGCTCCTAAGGGCCTCCCTGTACCTAATGACTTCTCTCCTTACCTGAGCTAGGGACCTGTGTGTTACCCTCGAGCCTGATCTACCATCCTGAATATCCTATAATCTGGCCAGCTGCAGCCCCCTGGCCCTGCCTGCCCGCTCTGCTCTCCAGCCCATCCCACCCCGGTGCCTTCCACCTCCACTGTCAAAACACCTGACCCTACCCAAACGCCTTCCTTAGGGAAGGCCAAGTCCCTCTGCCCTCCAGGGGATCCTGGCCAAGCAAAGAAGGAGAGGAAGAGCCAGTCTCAAGAAGGCCCATGGGCAGGGCCAAGGAAGACCCCTTCATCACAGGACTGTGCGGGCTCAGGGCCTCACTGTCTCCTTGCCTTGGAGGACACCAGAGAGCAGCGAGCCAGGCCAAGGCTCATTCAGGTGCAACTGAGCACCTATCACTGCCAATCTACCTAGGATTCTGTATGAAGAGCGTTCAGTGTGGTGAGAGACCCCACCCTACCCCATGCCTCATAGGGGAAAAACAGTGGAGAAAGAAGGAAAGAGGAAGCACCTTGCCACTTGACCCTTCTTCCAGGCTTTTGTTCCGGGAGCAGTGGCAGTGGCTGGTCAGGCCGCACAGGAGATGCTGTCCCTATTTGATGAACAAGAGTCCACATGAAAGGTATCAGGCCCAGGTAAAAGTGAGAGTCTGATTTGGGTTTGGTCTTAAAAGATGCTCTCTTCTTTTCACATGGGGAAACAGGCACAGAAAAGCTAAACCATTTGCTCAAGGTCACCCACCAGGCAAGTAGCAGGAAAGCATCACAGCCAACGTGTCTGTACTATCCACAGATGCTGGGTGAGGAAAAGGCACTCTAGGCAGCCATGAGAAGTGGAGGCTGTGTCTCCAGTACTGGGGTGGGACAGGAACAGCCTCAGAGCTGCCAGTTTCTGAGGAACAGCCTCGTGTCCTCAGGCAGAGGAGGTCCAAGGGTGCCCCCTTGTGGTTAAATTTTCTCACCGCCTCCCACCTTTGGTCTCCCACCCAAATGCCTTCCTTGGGGCCCAACCCAGCCCTCTCCACTTGGCCTGGTATAGCTAGCTTCCCCCACACCATACCGGAGAGCACTCCCCTCATGGGCACTCCAAGACCAAGAGGTCTTGTCTCTTACTCTGGGATAGCATGTTCTAGGTGAAATTATATCATTTATGCCTGTGACTGTCTACATGGAAAGTGGCTTGGGTTCACAGAGACAGTAATAAACCCACTGCTCTGGGCCTCTGCCCCAGAACCAGCCAGCTGGGTCATTGGGAGCAAACCATATCTACCCTCAGCTGCAATGTTTTCCTTTTTTTTTTTTTTTTCCCAGTACTGGGCATTGAACCCAGGGAGGACTGGGCTACATCACTGGCCATTTTTATTTTCTTATTTGAAACAAAGTCTTGATAAACTGGCCAGGCTGGCCTCAAGTTTGTAATTCTCTTACCTCAGCCTCCCAAGTAGTAGGGACTACAGGAATGCACCACCAGATCTGGCTTCAACCACAATTCTTATACCTACATTTTGCTTAAAAGTAAGAGGGGAACTAACTGGGCATGGTAGCTCATACCTGTAATCCCAGCACTCTTAGAGGCTGAGCTAAGCCTGTGCAACTCAACAAGACACAATAAAGCAAAAATTTTAAAAAGGCTGGGGATATGCCTCAGCACGAAGGCTCGGGGTTCAATCCCCAGGAAAACACACACACACACACACACACACACACACACACACACACACACCCACACTTTAAAAGAAGAGGATTTACCGAGAACAGTGCTGTTAAAAGATCTGATTTTGTGAGCACTTACTATATGCCAGGCTCTTCTGCTGCCATCTGCCTTAATTATCTCAGATTGTGGCCTCCTGTTCCCCCACCCCACCCCCAACTCATCCTACACTCAACAGCCAGGAGGATATTTTTAAAACAGAACTCAGATTGTAATGCTCCCCTGCTCAGCTCCCTCTGGTGGCCTCCCACTGCGATTCGGAAAGAAATCCAAACATCGAAACTAAAAATGTACATGGAGGTTGGGGGTCTCTTCGTGAAAAGCCAGGGGAATGGGGGCTTCAGGAAGAGTTCAGCAAACACAGAGCCCTCAGGATCCCATGAGACTGGTGAGGGTGGGAGGAGAGGGGCAAGTGGAAGGGACAGTTAGGCCGGGCTGGGTGCCATGAGTGGGGGTGTGGGGAGGGTAAACCGAAATCATGTCATTGGGTTTAGAGTTTCAACAATTATTCTGTTGCACAGAAGTGTTTAGAGATGAAGTGAGACACAGTCTACGATTTGCTTTAAAAGGCTTCAGTGCAGGCAAGAGTGGTGAAGAGAGCCAGGAAGCCTGTGGGCTGGTCCACCACGATGGGGTAGGGTCCTGGGGAGGCCCGTCTCCCATCCTCTCTGGGTTTGCATGTGTGGAAATTTCCATGATGACAAATTGAAAGAAAAAAGGAAAGGAAGGGAGGGAAGCGAAGGGTGGAGTTGGGACTTTAGTTTCTGAAGTAAATGATCACTCTGGTTGCCACAGGGAGAGGTCCTGGGAGGCAGGGTGCTGGCTTGGACCAAGGCATGTTCACACAAGTGGATAGAAGCTGGGAACCTGGGGATGTATTTCAGAGACCATCTAGATAGGACTTCTGGTACCCAGCCCCCATGCTGGAGACAGAGCCGAGGGCCTCACAATGCTGGGCCAGTGTACTTCTGAGCTACTCTCCCTATGACTTCTGCTCCTTCTTACACACACCTCACAGGCATACAGTGGAGCCAGTGTGATACTTGTGTTTTTGGCTTGACAGATTGGGATGATGGAGGCTTCTTTCCACGGAAGAGAAGAACGACACTTTGTTTCAGCACTTCACATATTACTTCTCTTAATCCTCACCTCAACCCTATGTGAATATCATCCTCATCACTGCCACTTATGGAGGAAACTGTGGCCTGAAGAATTCATAAATGTACCCAGCATTACACATACCACACAGCCAGTGGGTTCACCCTGAGGATCCAGCCCCAGCCTCTGCGTTCTTGCTACACTGCCTCTTGGTCGGGGGGAGGGGTAGGTGGAAGGACTTGGGGGCCAGGTGGGTAAAATCCAGAGCTCTGCAGTGGGCGTGTCAGGCAGAGATGCCCATTGGATGTGAGTCAGAAGTTCAGGAAAGGCTTCCACAGGCGAAGGAAAGATTCACAGCTTGCCCATTATATCCATTCATAGATGTGCAAACTGAGGACAAGGAGACTAGGCTGCCCGAGGGACATGGCAGGCTAGAGCCCAGTCCACTTGCCTCTAAACCCCTGCTTCCTGCTGCCCTGTGGGCAGGTATGCATGTGGAATCAAATGAAAGCACACCATGCTCAGGTAAGCTGCCACAGCCCTGTGTCTGGGCGTCTTAGCACACAAACTG